GAAATATATAAAATGGCCGGAGATCGACAAAAATGGGAGCATCTCCGATCCATTAATTTCAACCAAGAATATGAACTTTGCACATTATTTGAACGAGTGTGTAATAAAGAGATTGACCCCCTCTATCAAAAACCAACACGTTTTATTTTGACCTGACATGACTACGTACCAGAATGCCAAAATAGTGACAGGGTACATCGGAGGGAAAAAAACTGATTTCTTCGAAAAAACAGACATCGTCCCAAACGTACCTCAATGTCGGTCCATTGAATTATTTTGGGCATTAATTGAGAAACAATATAGTCTGAAAGAAAGGACAAAGAAATTTCGAAAAATTTCTGCGGGTTATAAAGAAAATCATCATAGAAGTTGGTGAAACGAGTGGTTAAGCGCTCATGAGAGATCCTCGACAAAGTCTTCTCTCCGGTACGGAAGGGGTATTTGGACAACTGGAGGACTAAAAAACTTCGGTCTGGTCATCGTTAATATTCCACAAAAGTTTCGTTAGATTTGATTCGTGCATTCATTTTTTGTACGTTAAACTAGCTTGACACTTAACTTCACCGACCAGTCCATAATGCTCTCCCACAGAGTACACTTAGATGAAGGATCCATTCAAATTTACTAAAACGTTTGCAAATAGTTGTGCTAATTTTTCAGAAGTTCTCAAGTCCCAAACTTCTCTATGTGTTTAGTTACTTGATTTTTAGTCCTTATTTTAAGAAAATCCGTGAAAATATGTCGGGCTTCTGCATTGGAAGAGGGACAAAGGCTAAAGCTCTCCTCAGAGTTTTATGCGATATAATTGAAGCTATACACCTGGCTGGTAATTTATGTAATTTTGCTGTTACATTTTTTGACATAGCCATACACTGGCGCAGCTGGTTGGTCATACTTCTTACGGCGGGTGGGGTAGCCAAGTCAAATTACCCGCCATCATGTTCGCAATAATTCCTCCCCTCTTGTCAGTCGGCGTGGCCGTGAATGGGCTCAACTTTCTTTGCGGTCAGAAAAACTGGCAGAAAGCACAGCTGATTCTGTTCCTCTGGTTATTAGGCTGTCTAATTTTAAGCAATGCGCACATCGGAATCGTAATTACAAATGTGATCGCTCCACCGGACGTCTTCCCCAAGTGGATTTATTTCGATGAAATCGAAGCCGCGAATTTGACAAGGGTAAAACTTGTTATTTGATAATTTCATATGTACATGGTGGTTTAAAAGTCAGGCTACAATGGAAAATTTTTCAATGGGAAAAATTCGCAAACCTTCATTAGTGACCGAAATTTTGCCTCTGAAAGTCAATATTTTAAGAATTTTGTCATCAGTGTTCCATAAGTTTTGATAAAAATTAATAAAAATCTGAATTCAAAATCCGTGACTAATGGTAATTTACTAATTTTTCCCATTGAAAAATTTTCCATCGTAACCTGACTTTTAAACCACTCTGTATACATATATGTATGTATTCAACATTTGCGATTAATTTGCGTTTAACCTAATCAAGAAATTTCAAGAATGTTAAAGTGTTTGCGTAAATTTATATAAATGCTATTCTTCACACGTATATATGAATAGATCGTAATTCCGGCCGATAACAAAGATTATTTTAAAAACCACACCGCATACCGGATGAATTTTCTTTCGACATTGGCCATGCACTGGTTCTCCCTACTGGAGAGACGATGGGATGAAGAGAAAGCTAAACATAACTGGGTCTGCGTTGTTAGGCGTGACGAAAATGCAGGTATTAACTTGATTCAGCTGCTTTATGTTACAATTTTGTCCGTCCGACCATCCGTAGGCAGGATATATGAAGACCCATTCAATACGTATAACCGCACGTCGTTTTGGCCAATGTGCTTAATAATTCTTAATTTCTGAGAATTAGAATTAGAAGTTTGTATTTAATTTGGGACGGGAAGTTCAGAAATCGCTGCATCCTATTTACATATTACCCTACGGGGAGGATGACACTAATTTTTGGGTCAATGCGACCACCCAGTGGACGTAGTCGGGGTCAAAATCATACATATTTTTACGGAAATTAAATCTACTCATAGGTAGGTGAAACTCTTCCCGCGCTGTCCTGAGCACGGTGGGGCTGAAATGAGACTGAAGTTACTTTTTTCCTATGCATTTGCTACAGTTTATGAATTTTTTATAATTTTATAATTTCCCATCATTTGTGTTTGCATTTCTAAATTAGAAATTCTAATGATGTATTATCATTCCAGACCTCTGCCAGCATATCTGGGACACATACGATGAACTCGTGACCCTCCAGAAACTCGGGAATTATAACGAAGCTACCGGTTTATTGGGAAATTTTTCAACCTGCAACCGCTCCGCTTTGTTCGATTTTTCCAACCGCATTTCCACCCTGCTTCCCATCCTCAACGAAATCTCGGTCGCGCAGAGGTACACCAGGGGGCGCGAGTTTGGCGCTGCAAACTACTTTATGGCCTTTAAAGGCTTATCAGTTCTAAGAAAGCAGATAACTCTCAGATTACAGGGATGTTAAGTAGCGGAATTATCTCGAGGTGGACCCGACTTTGTGCAAGGTTTTGTCACGATTCAATCCCACTGAGACCATTTTATCAGCTCCGGAAGGAAAAAGGGTTTCAAAAACAAACACTTGGGAGTAATTTGGTCACGATTTTTCTAATTTGTTGTGCATCCTGTGCCCTTTGTTGTTTAACTTTGTTGTATGAATGGATAAGAGGGAAAGGATATGAAGAAATGATTATCAATTTGCGGCAAGGACGTATTAAGATTAAGCAACAGATAGCAAGATTCACGCACATATCAGTAAATTTTTGCAAAGGTGTGTTTTAGTGAAATTTTGTGCAAATTTTGGTTGGATGAAATCGCATCAAAATTCTGGCCTAGGAAAGAAGAGGAGGAAGGTCTATCAGTAAGCAGAGTTTTGACTTACAATGCGATGGTGCGAAGTGTATCCCTCCGATTTGGTTGATATTTTAAAATTGTGTGGTCCAAGTCAAAACAACCAATGCTTGTTGACGCAGTTTGTGCGAATTACTCAAAATATTGGAGATCATCAACCCATCGCGCAACTGCTTCAAGAAACGTTGGCTGCCTTGACGTGAATTTCATAATTCATAAATTTCAACACCCTACTGCACTTGTTTTGCTAGATCAAAGACAACGCGAAAGTACAGATATTTGCTACTGGAATAAAATGATGCAGCAAACACTAAAATTCATATGGCTCGTATCAATTTTTCGGCTACGCAAATGTAAATTGTAAAAATTTCAGCACATATTTAGTTGGTTACTTAATCTGACCGAACTATATTCAAACTTTATTTATTTATAAACTTACATATAACTAAGAATGTGTTTCAATTAAGATGAATTATTTAAAAAGTTTTAGCAATTTTTGTGCATATTTACTTGTTGCATAATATAAGCTTGCATTCACTTATGATGCACATTTAATTTGGTCGGTCGTGTCCCCCAACGGGGACAAGTCTACTTGTAATGATGGGTTTAATGCCACGTGAAATAAGGGCAAAACTAACATGCAAGCCTTTTGAAAAATACTTTTGTTACATAATTACATATGTATGTACAAAATTAATGGACGATTGCTATTGAAAAAAAATACTTAAGCATAATTTTATACTCGATGAATTGACTTAATTTGTGGTTCTAAATATTAGGAATTGACAGGCCCCGATCTAGGCCAAAATCTTACCTGGGCAAAGAAATTAGGCGCCCCTTGGTTTTTGGGGTCTTGCGGGTTTTGATGGGTTTTTGGGTAGCAAAAATGAGGAATACCCACGGATAGTTGGGGTTGTCGGGGTTTTCAAATTTAATGAAGTATGATAAATAAGCTGTAAAAACAATTATGTATAAAAGTTAATTAGTTATTTAAATCAAACTAATAACCAGCTTATTGAGATATTACTGAAAAAGCAAATTGTTTTAGCAATTGAGTACATGAAGCACTGACTCAGTTTACCCCCAAGACCCCGACTACTCGCAAAACCCAGGTAAAACCCCTGAGTATGGGTTTTCAATAGCAAAACCAAGGGGATTTCCTTACCCTGTAGCCAACCAATGCGAGTCTCGCATTGCGAGGTAGAACAGTTTTTATGTCATATAATTTATATTGCTCCCCAGCAGAAACTCTAAATGTATTGCCCGGCATATTATTTTAAACTTAACTTTTAGAGAATTTCCATGTTGAGCAAAATAGAAGTTAGCACAACTATTTCTTCAATTATTTATTTAACGTTTGGATAATTTTTAACGGGTGAAAAATTTAAGGTATTGCATGCAGAGAATTGGCTGGATTTTATGCAGAAAAACTTATGCCGGAACAATTTGTGCTTAAAATATTCAGAATTGTGCATAGTTGTACTAAACTTTCAGCAGAATATACCTGTCAGAAGTTTTACGCGGAACCGTTCATATTTTGTATGCACATACCATTGTCCACTTGTGTGGAATTATAATTCTACACAAGTGTTTTATGTCGAATTTGACATCAGTGTCAAATTCGACATACGATTTTCACCCCGAATGGAATAAATTTTATCCCATAATCGTGTCGTCCCCTGTTTTACTCAACCTTGAGTAGGATTACTTTCTTTTTAGAGTGTGGGTGAAAATTTAGAAACTGCACATTTCAAAATTTCGCAGTAGTGCATCAACAGAAAAATCAGTTGTCGCAATCAGTTGTCCAAAATTGATAAAAATAAAAGCTCAAAGCAAAAAATTTTCCAAATATGCAACAGGAAAATTCAATTATATCTAGTGTAAACCCGGGCGCCTATCGGCGCCCCCCAGGGGTTTGGCGCCCCGGGCAGCTGCCCGCGTTGCCCGCCCCTAAATCGGGGCCTGGGAATTGAATACAAAACAGTTTTAGAAACGTACATATATCTATGTACATATTTAGGTATGTGTATTACTGAAGTAAAACAAGGTTTAGATACTTGCGTAAGTAAACAAAAAAGATACATAAACACCAAGGACATATATTAGTTAATTTATTATTCTAATAACTTATACCATGTACATAAATAAGGACACGAATGACACCTGGCATATTTATCATATTCCACATAACTTAATTACATATTGCTGCGAATCAATTACTCAAAAATTTCAATTCCAAATCTCTTCAAATCCATAACAGTTTCTTCTCCAAAAACAGAAATAGCTTCTAAGCATCCGAACAAGCGCAATGCCTCAGATTTTAGAATATCTACTTGTTTCTTCAACTCAAAAATGTGCTGGTCTACAATAATTTCCATGTGGCATCGGATCAAATTAATTCGAAGAATAAAACCATAAACACCATCCCCTACTCGGTCGGCGACTCTAAGGCAGGACTGGAGTAGGTAAGCACATCTCTCATACTGCCCAACCCCGTAGAGTGATTCACATAAAATTTTAATGGAATTGTGCAGCAGACAAGTGTTATACGTTGGATTTGATTTACTCAAATCTTCCAATATTTTTATTAGTTTCAGAGATTTCCCAATCTTCGCCGGATCTACCAAATAGTCCTTCTTGCTCCAATTATGTACTTGCTTCATTATTTCGGTCCGACGATTTTTTACGAGTGCCGATTCTTCAGAATCCAACCGGCAGAGGTGGCACGTACACAAAAATTCTGAAAATATTTATAATTATCACATTACATATACATAAAGCTCTCCTTCGATAACATTTTTTTCTTAGGAGGACAACCCTTCACCGACAGAATCTCAGATCTTGATGCCCTTTGGATATGTTGTAGCCCTAGGTGAGTCTAGCAAAAGTGAAGAAGGATTTCATTCCATGGCCCCTTTTGCGCCCGCCACACCCACTCAAAGGTGCGAAAAACACGAAAAATACCCTGTTTTCGTTCATTCAAAAAATCACCAAAAATCCAATTTTGATCGGATTTTCATAATTTAAGCGTTTTTGTGATCTTAGATAGTGGCTTTATCATATCCCAAAGCAAACTCAATTTTTTTAATTTTTTGAGTATTTTAGAAAGTTTCCTGACCAGGGCCAGGACCTGACCAGGCCTTCGAAAAAATCAAAATTTCAAAAAAAATTGAGTTTGCTATTGGATATGATAAAGCAACTATCTAAGATCACAAAAACGCTTAAATTGTGAAAATCCGATCAAAATTGGATTTTTGGTGATTTTTTGAATGAATGAAAACAGGGTATTTTTCGTGTTTTTCGCACCTTTGAGTGGGTGTGGCGGGCGCAAAAGGGGCCATGGAATGAAATCCTTTTCCACTTTTGCTAGACTCATCTAGGACTACAGCATATCCAAAGGGCATCAAGATCTGTGATTCTGTCGGTGAAGGGTTGTCCTCCTTAGTTTAACAAATCTGTAGTTACGTAAACAGATTTCATGATGCGACTTGCGAAATAGAGAGGAAAAATTTATGCAAATATTTGAAAAAAAAGTTTTCCTACCATGTGCCTTAAAACAGTTTACTCTTTTCTCAAAATCACGTCCCGGGTTGATGTAATGGACCAGCATCTCGTCCCCTTTCTTCACCTGGGTTGTGGTCCTCATCACCATATAATTTTCGTAAACGTACCACACCACATTGGCCTCGGAACAGGAATGATTAAAAAATGATGGCATCACCCAAATCCCAGAATATTGTCGATCTCCTTCCTCTAATTCATCCGTTCCAAACCAATTAATCGAAACGATACGGTCGATACGTTTCATATCGAGGCAGGAAATGTGGCCATGATCCTGATTCAAATGTCCAAGATCTTTTCCTGCAGTAAGGGCATAAATCACTTTTCCGAGAGATGGCTCCATACGAATTTTGTTTGCAATTTGAGCAACAATTTGATCATGGCCAGGCTTCATGTAGGCAGATTTTGAGTCGAAATTGTGACTCAGATAGAGTTCAGAGGGTATCGAATTTTGAGTAAAGTAACCGAATGCTCGAGTGCAAAGTAGAGGTGTTCCTGCAGGTATGTCGTGAGTCGCATGTACGCCACGACCTTTATCGGCGACGTTGGTGAGGGTGAATGGACCATCTTCAATTAGTGGAAGGAGGGTGGTGTCTATTGACGACTTTTGCTGTGGGATGAACGCCATTAGTTGGGATTTTGTAAGTGATGCACTCGACCTGCGCAAAATGGTACAATTTAAATAATTTAGAGACAAATCGTAGTCTGCAGAGAGGCGATAATTTGTACCATAATTTTCCCGGGTGATTAAAGAGACGCATTTTTACGATGGATACTTAACCAAAAATTCCAGCATTATTTAAAACTAAATAAAAAAATAATACATAATAAAAAATCTAATAAGATTGTAAAAAATAGTTTCATAAAAAAATATTTTAAATTTGGGCAACAAAAATAGGTAACTTTTTTGTATAGCTTGACGAATGTTTAGTGTACGAGTTATTTAAAAAAAATTATTTTCTATTCGAGTAAAAGGTCGTCTGCTTAATCATTACCCAAAAACTGGGACATTCAAAGGTAGCAATTAGAAATTGTCGCCAAATTAATTAGCGTGCAATTCCAAAATAATATTGGAAAATTATTATTTTTTAAGTTAAATTTTAACTATTTAGTTTTGAATAAGTATTTAGTTAACTTACGCCCGACCCTGCGCCAGTTTCATCAATTTTTCAAACTCCTTCAATTTCTCAGCGCTTGCGTCTTCTCCAAATTTCTTCAGTATATCAGTCAGAACCTGAACGGCTTGTTCATGGTGACCCAATCCTAGTAGTGCCTTCACTTTGCGATAGTGACACTTCTCATTCGTCCCATCCAATTTTAATCCCTCTTCTGCCCATAGTATGGCCTGTTGTAGGCATTCGTATGCTAAACAGACGGCAGACCGGTTGCTAAATATTTGCCTTTTGTTCATTTTCGTTGGAATATTCCAATGCCAAACTGTAGAAGCGATCCGCGTCGGTGTATCTCTTAGCGACAAATGCTTTGTTACCCGAGGTCCTCAAAATGTTGAATCTTTCTTCATCTGTGGAATATTGATCCCAAAATGGTAAAATGTGTCGGAATGCGGATGGAATTTGTGACTTCCAGTTAAGATCTAAAATATATTTACAAATGAGAATCATTTCAGTTTAACTTTGACCTACTATTTTCTAAGCTTTCAAAGATTGTCAGGGAAATGGATCTTTAATTTTATCTGTAAAAATTCTCTGTAAAAATTTCGGGATTAGTTGTTTATAAAATCAGTGGTCAAAGCCGACGGGCCGCAGATAGCATTTTACGCGCAACCGCCGCAATTAATTCTAATTTCCTCTTCATGTAACATTGTAATTGCCGTAGGAAAATCGTTCAAAGACGGCTCCCCAAATTGGTCGGCGTTAACCTCTAAATCCAACTTGCAAGATTTATCCCCCCCCTCTGAGGTATTTCAATTAATGGCTTGTACAGAACCAAAATTACTCTAACCTACTACCAGAACAATTCTCAGGATTAATTTGATTTAAAATATCACAAACCTGGAAACCTTCTTCGAAATTCTTTTTCGCTCATAAAATCCACCTCGGCCGGATTATCACATCGAATCACGATACCACCACTCGCAGTAGACTTCCACCAAGGATTTCTAACTACCGAATACATCCCGAGAGGGAGCACTTCCTGAAAATTCGTCGTGGCAACGGAGGACTCCACAGAGTAATTGTACAGCGCCAATTTCATCCCCAACTTTCCCACCGGGTCATCCACCACAGTTTCAATCCCAACAACTTTGGACGCCTCGGAAATGATGCGACAAAGTAGAAACTTTCCCCAGAGCACGGTATTCGGATTTTTCGCCAATGTCGCCAATCCCACCCGGTTATTGTCAGATAACTCAAAATTTCCAGCATAATTTTCTGGGAGGCTGTGTAACGTTGTTGTTGACGTCTTTGTAATCGTAGCTGCCGAGAGAGCGGAAGAACGTGTCTTGTTTTGTTGAATGTATTGTAACTGTCCAAAAATGACTAACTCCTTGTTCGTGCATAGTTTAATCTTGTCCTCCGTCACGACTGGGTTTTCAATATTGCTTTTCTCCAACTCCAGTAGAGTGGACAACTGATTAATATCATTTATTTCGCCAGGAGGGGATCTCATCGAGGAGAGGGAGGCAGGTAGATTTTTCATCAGTTCGTTAATATTGATAGACATGATTTTTTTTTCTTTTTTGATGACGTTTGTGGACAATAAAGCAGTGACTGGTCTGGAAACGGGAAGAACTCAAGTTGTTAACTGAAATATTAAGATATTTAAATAATAAATAAATATATGTATACAACTGTCAGACTTAAGTATGTATCTAGGTCAATAATTTATTTTAAGGTGCGAAATATTTACATACCCACCACGATCGCGTTAATTACATAAAATTCCAAGGTAGTAGGTCTACCACAATTATTTAAACAGTTTATAAAACTCAGTACACAATAAATTACACACACAATATTTAATTGAGATTTACATATTACTGAGAATTGATAAATGATATTAAAATTATTCTTCAGCCTGGTTTAACTGGCGTGAAAAAAGTCGTGTTTCAATGTGAACTATCCAAATAATAATGTGGTTAGTAAATATGTATGTAGGTTAAAACAAAACTTAAATATTGCATGCACAAGGGAACGTGTAAATATTTTACTCCATATGCAATCTGCTAACATGTGATCAATTTAAGTACGTGCAGAAGAATGTACATGTACGTAAATATAGTTATGTATGTATGTATACATATATGCAGCTGTATTGTTTGTATTTGCTAACGTTTACCGTTGTAGGGATTCAGAACGTAAAATGCAAGGACAGGATACGCACCACCGAATCACATGCAAAAGGGAAACCATTGAGACTCGTGTATTATGATTTGCATGAAGTGAAAGCAAATACCGTAAAACCTCTATTTATAGCCCTATTCTAATTTTAGCCGGTCTCCAAATATAGCCGGGCCTAGAGACCAATATTTCAAAATTTTAGCCGGGTCTCTAATTATGGCTTCTCTTGTCCGCTGTGTCCCGTTTATAGCCCATTCAATAAAATTGTTGCACATTATGCTAATCAACGAACAAGTTGAATTAAATACTCATTTTTACCTATTAATTTTGAGTGAAGTTAATTATGAAAAAATCATGACATAAAATTTAAAAAACCTGCTAAACCTCGTTTAAAGATGTAGAGTGAAAGTTTTGGGCGTAAAAAAGTTTAGCCGGGTCTCTAATTATAGCCGGTCTCTAATTGTAGTCGGTCTCTAAGTGTAGCCGGGTCCGTGACCCTCAGTTTTGGATTTTAGCCCCGGCTATAAATAGAGTATTTACGGTATACACATTTTCGTACATACTTTGTTCATCGATTGTTGAGAGCGTATGAAGATCTGCAATTCTCACATGTATCCATACATATGTACATGTTTCATATTTATTTAACATTAAAGTATTTAGGTTAGTTATTTTCCATAGCCTTCTCCATAACGGATGTTTATTGCGCCGACTTTTATTGGACCTCTGTCAGCTCGTTTTTTGCATTCCCATTCTTGAGAGTAAGGTTTGCACTTCCTTACTATTTAGGTCAGACACTTGAAAAGTGTGGTGTGGTAAATACATTTATTTATATATATTTTACGATGCGTGATGTTTGTAAATCATGTCGTATGTCTACAATAAATAATAAGTCGATTGGCAACCGTTGGGTTGAATCGTTGTATTTATTTACCGCAGTACATAGATTTGTAATAAATTTTAAACTGCTTGCGTTGTAGAATAATTCGTAACTTGAACGAGGAGAATTGTGTCATAATTATACTTAAATAATTTTCGTTTACTTTGACTATTTCCATGTAACATACATAATTTGCGTCCCCAATATTTCTGCACATTTAGCACCACAAATCTTGGAAATGTCACGATTCTAAGACCATAATCGAGTATAAAATCAGCCCCTAAACCTTAAACAGAGAATTTGACTTTCTATTTTTCTAACTTAAATTACAATTTCCCGTGAAACTAAAAACCTCTGCCAAAATGGATACAAATATAATTCAATTTTTCCTACTTTTCCTGGCCAATTTTGACCATGTGTTGACCCATGGATGCCACCTGGTGACTTCCAACAAACCAATATCCTGCATGGACCTCCACGCCACGCCCTTCATCACCAGCGCCACCTCCACTTTTGGCCGCTTCATTGAAGGCACATCCACAAATCGAAGGGGACACATGTTCGCCGTCAATTATGGAAATAGTTCCACCCTGAATACATATGGTACGATGTTCCACTTAATTAAAAAAATAATAATAATGAGATGGTACGAAGTGTAACGCTCTGATTTTGTTGAAATTTTTGGTATTATGAAGTTTACATTAGTAAAATGTTTATTTATTGGACAGTTCTTAAGGTTTTCAGTATCTGACAAAATATTCGAGATACCCTGAAAATTTTGCGATTTTATTAAAGTGGCGGAGGAAAACTCCAGTTTCGCTAATAAAAAAGTTGCAAATTTTTAAACTTCCACCTCAAATATGTTGACAACTTCAGGAACCCTTAAAAACTGTGTCAATCAACGTTGCACTGATATGAACTTCATGCTACCAAAATTTTAACAAAATCATACTGTTACTGTAACACTGTTACACTTCACAACTTCACACTGTTAATTTAAGAAAGCTTTATTTTGGAATAGGACAATTCTTCCCACAAATCCGCCCTTTTTATCTCGACCCTCGGACAAATTCACAACTTCACGGGATGCGATTTCTCAACGATAAAACTGCCCTTGTCATTGATTCTGCCAACCATCGCGTCCTGAAATTGAGTCTGACCGAAAACCAGAATGATTTCCCAATCGTGCTAAACTCCACCGTTTTCTGTGCTCCCACCAAACCAGAAGCTATGATGGAGCCGAACGACCTGACCCTTTCGCGGAGTGGCACTGTTTTCACTTCCGGTATGATGTTCACCACTTTTCCCCACAACAGGGAAGGAGATGTTTGGAGTTGTTTGAAAAATGGGGAGGTAATGAAATACAGTCGTGTCATGCTTATCATGTCCTTTCTGACCTTATCTATATTATAAGCTGGAAATGTTTGTCTGCAACGGAAGTGAAATTAATTTTCCGAAACTGAAGTCAAAGTGGAGAAAATTAAGTTTCGGATGGTGCGTAAATTCAAAAATCGAAATTTAAACAAGTGAATATGAGAAGATCATGGTGTCACTGGGTCATGTTCCGCATTGTGTTATCGGAATATTGCGTCTTAATTCTGATTATTAACAGTTTGAGCAATGTTCGCTACAAATACACTTCCGTTTGCATCAGCCAGCTTTAGCCAATAAATAATACAAGAATATTGAATTGAGTGGAATTTTAAAAACGAAATCCACTCTCGCCAGGAAGGAGACGGGCTTGTACGCTAGTCAATGATATAACCACCTGACACTTGAATTAAAAGTACACTCTAAATAAGAATATGTAAAATCCAGCCAACCTTGAGTAAAACACGATGATGGCACACGAATTGGATAAAATCTACCCAACTTTAGCCCATTAATTTTATACCAACCTTGGGATAAATTTTCGTTAAGTTTTGTCCCATTCTCCAATTTGCTCAAATTTTAGTGATAATTACACATTTTATTTGGAGCAAAACTGTCAAAAATCTGTTAGAGTCAAATATATACTTCGACCCGGTATTGAACCGATAATAACTTCCTACCAGATTTTATGTGCTTAATATCTTACAATTGTTATTGGTAAATTTTTAATTACAACTACATTAAATAAATAAACTGTAATACCCGGTATAATATAAGCACTCCGATCAGTAATGATTTAATACCAATTTTCTAAGAGTGTAAATAAATACATATTTATCCAGGCAAAACGACTGGAATTAATCGGCCGCACGAACGGGATCGACCTCTCTTTCGACGAAACACGTCTCTACATCTCCGAAGGAACGCCATCCGGTCAACAAATCTGGGTTTACGAGGTGGACGTCAAAACCGGCACTGTTTCCGGAAAACGGCCCTTCGCATTTTTCGAGTACCCTGCCGACTCCGCCCAATCCATCGTGATTGACGGGATGCGGACGGATGTGCACGAAAATTTATGGGTGACGAGATACGGTGGAGGCGAAGTCGTCGTTTTTAACCAACACGGAAAACTCACTGGTCGTGTCCGGGTATCATTTCCAAATCCAACTAATATGGAATTTGGTGGAGAAAACGGCACGACCTTATTCATCGTTGGACAATGCGAGGGGGCTGATGCAGGATGTGTGGATAGTCTGCAAGTCGCAACGCCGGGGAGATCTTGGACAAATTTACAGTAAATCCCCAGAAGGCATATTCAATAATCTGAAATTATTTTCCAATTTTCAAAGAGTGAAAAATTGGGAATTTGATTATCACAATAAAGACTTGCACAGTTTCCGTGTAATTCCATTAACTAAAAATATTTAAGGGTTATTTTTAATCCACCAGACCTTTCATTGAAATCCAGTGTTTCTATTTGTGCTAACTAAATTATTTTTATGCGTGCATGGTGCGTAAAAATGCACAAAAATGCATAAAAACGCATTGAAATGCATGAAAATATGGAAAAAAGCATAGTAATAAATGAAATGAAATTTACCAGTCATCCAAGTTGTTCCAATTACAATACCCGTCGCACAACATGACCTAAAAGTTCCGAGTCATCTACTCCATCATTTTAGACTGGTCATTCGTCAAGTTCTTCTGATTCATATTTATTTCGGAAAAATACTTTCATCATTTATAAAATTAATAGGTGTAAGTGTGGTCTGAGAAAACATACTTGCATTGAAATATTTTATGCTATACATTCCTCCTTTTTTCTCCATTGGATTGCAAAAGTACATAATTATGCAAGTTCTGCATAAATGGCATTATTAAATGAAGGCATAATTTTTTTGGGCCCCTTAAACGGTTAAATTTTACCCCCTATTTGATCTTAAATTTTAATATTTGATTTTGCCCCCCCAATTAAACTTAAATTGATACCTTCTGTTACGCATTAGATGATGATAAATGAAGAAAGCAACTCATTCATTTTATATTTTATGTAGTTGCATTTATTAAAACATTTACCTAGCTCAAGTTCCAGAGGTAGAACCGTGTGCTAGTAAGTACAAATCTCATCTGCCTCTCACACAGATTTTGGAGGCCTATTTATACCTAAAGGCTAGGATCATAAAACTAGGGTATCTATAATGCCATAAATCAACCTAGACAGGTATAGACGCTATTGTAACATATCTCACCCCTTCTAATTTAATTTTAATTTTTAATTTAATTTTTAGTGAAATAATAAATTATTAATAATATTTTGACATTGATCAATTTTTTGTTGAAGTTCATCTAAATTTTGAACATTTTTACAATTTAAATGATTTGAAATTTCATTCATTTGATTTTCTAATTCTATAAATTTTCCTTTTTTAAATCTAGACATATATGAATTATTCTTTTTTATTTTAACCTTTTTGTCAATTTTACCATTTAAATTAGGTTTGATTTTATCATTGTGGCTATCAGTAAGTTTAATTGTACGAACTATTTCTTTATCTAACAATTTTTGCGTAGCTTGTTTTTCTTTAATTTTATTTGTCACTTTTAATAGTTTTTTATTTGATTTTTTCACATTTTTAGGTTTAGATATTTTAATACTAGTAGGGAATGAATAACCATAAAATGGATTAGTGAATAATTTTTTAACTTTTATTGAAGAATTAATTTTTAAATTATTTATACTAAACATCAATTTACCTAATTCTAGATTATGATTAATAATATTTTTTGATTCTTTCTCAATATTTTTCTGCATTTTTAGTTCATTTTTCTCATAATAAATTTTACATGGAATTTTATTATCATATAAAGTATTCAGTTTCTCAGAATGGCTAGTTGGTGCTTGAAGGATTGACGTTGTGGAATGTGTGTCTATTATTAACTCGGGATTGGGGTGATTTAGGAGCCAAAGGGTTTGCTGGTTGTATCTCTCGTCCAGTAGTTTTTCTAGTCCGTCCAATTCATTCGGTGTAGTATTTGCTTGTGGGGAAGGACAATTTTGTTGGGGTAAATTAATATTGGAAGAAGAAACAAGTGGTGTGCGAATTGAGATTGAAATAGTGTTTTGTTGAGGTGTAATAATTTTTGAAGATACTGGTGATGTGTGAATTGGGATTGAATGTGTATTTTGTTGAGGTGTAATAATTTTGAAAGATGCTGGTGATGTGTGAATTGGGATTGAATTTGTATTTTGGTCGGATGAAATAATGTTGGAAAAGGATACTGCTGGTGTGTGAATTGTGATAGGATTTGTAACTTCTTGTGAATTTGGAGAATTTGAAGGTATAATTTCTAACTTATTTGCTAATTTATCATTTCTATTTCTAAGTCTCTTTAACCTACGTTTTTCATTTTTAGCTTGTGTTTTACCCATCTTAAACTTAATAATATTAAGAGAAATAATTTAAATAATATCGAAATAATTAATACGTAAAACTAAGAAGTATAATATTTATAACTATATACTAGTCATATAGAAATGCATAGTTCGTAACCGGATCTGGAAAGAAATCAATTTATTAGTATTTCACTCTTTTTAGTGCATATAGTGAAGCATTGGGATATTCAGATTGGATGGCATTTACTTCCAAAGATTGATTTGAGATGAGTGGTTCCATTTGAATTCTAGATTCCTGCGTCAGCGAGTCAGAATCAGATTGAGTTTCATTTGAAAAAAGAAGCAAATCATTAGGTGCAGTAGCCGAATTTTCAATTTGAATTTCTTGATTTGTAAAAATATGGCCAAAAATAGGCAAATTTCTGAGATATGGGAATTCGTTTCCTAAACGGAGACGATGAAATTTTAGTAAAGTGTAAAGAATGTAGACAATAAGCAAAGTAATACAGATGGTAATAGTGATGTTGAAGTTTTTGCGAATAGGATCCAGAGTGATATCTTGAATTAATCGTGAGAGTCGTATTTGCTCCGCGTTGGACGATGCTCCTTCCTCCTTAGTTTTAATTAGATCACTAATGCGAGTTCTCTCTTGCAGTTGTTGCATTAGATCTAAAATAGTGGTTTCTCCAGATATTTGCTTTAAGGAATATATTCCAGTCTGGTCAAATGATAAATCACGAATAGTTGGATATTCTGCTGTTTCTCTTGGGGAAGGCAAATAAGGAATAGTTGATGCAGGCAACGAGTGATTGGAAAGTTGTATAACCTTATTTCCCATGTCAAAGAGCCATACTTGAGCAGGGCATGATGTCATTGTCGGAGACTGAACGATCTCATGACTCAGTCCTTGAATCCATCCTTCGTGTTTTTGATGCTGGTACATGTATGAGACGGGGTACTCGAGCGTGCAATTTGTCTGCCGCAAGAACATGTACTCCCAAATCTCAGTGCACTTAAACACACTTAAAACATCACCACGCAGAGTAGATCTGTATCTTCCATCACGAGTTAAGGCACGAACCATAATTGAACTTTGTCCAAATTCTGCCAAAGCTCTGACCAATTCGAGTTCTAATTGCTGGCTTTTACAGGTGTCCCGATGAATAATTTGCAAAGCATACGAAACATCATCACGTAGCGCATCGTATAAAAATTGCAGTTCTCCATTCACTTGCGCATCAAGCTTAACTTTGGGAAAGAGAAGTGGTTTCATAATATCTCTTTTCACTTTCACTTTTCCTTGTACCACTTCACGAAACTTGTGCGTAGACAGGCTGATAAAGTCTACTTCTGAATTGTTTATGGGGGTGAACATTAATCCTTGCTTGGAATAGCCGATAGTTCGTTTGCACATTGAAATTGTTTTAGGATCGGAAATTGCGAGGTTGAGAGCGGGGCATGAAATGCGATTGTCTTTGTATAAACAATCTGTGGTTTCACCTTCAGCCAGTCTGCAGTGGTCCACATCTTCCGATTTCCAGATTAATATACCATCTTGTGTAGGGCAATGTCCTTGTTGAGCTTTGCACGTATCCAACACTTTAGTCATTGTAATAATTGTATCGTCCTCGTTGTTTATGGAGATTTTCATATTAATGAAAAAATAGTTCACGGTTAGCACTTCTTGTGTCTTGGACCATGTATATTCAAGCGAAGGGTAAGTATTTTCATTCCAGAATAGACCATCGGCAATCATTTTAAATTTTTGTCCATTTGGAGCAATGTCCTTATACACGATATTATGACAATCGTGCACACTCACAGTTTCACGTTTAGTATTTTTCTCACTACTATATGTACCAAAAAAGAAGTAACTTTTCCTCTCATAAACTGTCTCCTTAAAACACTCGTAGGCGGATATAGATTGCTTTGTTATATCCTGCCACCAGAAGATCACTTTTGAGGGTTTTGTTATGTTCACCAATGGACATTCTATTTTCGGTGGAAGCCACCACAATACTCCTTCACTGTATCCTCGGCATAGGATGATGGGGATGTCCTTCATGTTCATATTGATAAAATAGTCTTGAATCGGTACTTCTCCTTGGGTCGGTTGAATAAGAAGAGTTTGCATAAAGGTATATTGGAAAAGGAAAAAGGGTATCAGGCAGTTGAAAAAGATGGCCATTTTAAAGAGGTGAACTATAAAAGTGATAATCAGAATGCCAAATGGGCCTATATTTAATACCCTTGCTTTTTCTTGGGCTGGGAAAGAAATTAGGAATGTCATCATTTTCCTCATCATCATCATCATCCTGCATAATAACATTATCCACTGGTATCTCCTCCAGAATCTCTTTAAAAATGTTATCTAATTTGGATTTATTGATTTTAATATACTGGGATAAGTGTACTAAAAAGCAAGTGATTGATGGATATAAATGTAGACTCAAATGTTTGTATATTACATATTTACATAAAAACTGTACAATGTCATCATCAGTTCCTCAAATGATGAGCTTATGTGTTTTCATGGTACTTGAAAATATTTCAATTTGTTCTCTTGTTTTAATCATTCGAAAAATAGGAAGTTTAGTATTCTGATGTTTAATTAATTTATAAATTTTATCCTGGTCTTTAAATTGATCTTTTACACTAGGCAAAATTCCCAAATCCGTCAAATCCAGCAGTGAAGTATCTTGGTATGTTAAATTATTTACATCGGGGTTAAATTGAACTTTAAATGGAACATATTAAACAAAGTGCTCATGCTGATCGTAAAATGATTCCAATTTCAACTCGCTTATGGTTTTTACTATTCTACATGGATTTAATAATTCTTCTCTTAATAATGAGACGGATTGAAAGTTTTCCACCTCATCGTCATCTTCTATTAAAAATTTTCTCATTCTTTCCACCGAAGTTTTAATTATTCTGTCAGTTTTTAAACATTTAACTTCATATGATAAATCATTTATTTTCTTAATTACTTTATATTCTCCTAAATAATGAGGAATAAATTTCAAT